GATGCTCTTCAGGTGCAGCGTCCCAGTGGACCTGCAGCTCGGCTCAAACCGAGAAACACACTCTCGTCTCCTGCTGTGTGCCACGACGCAAATGAACAACTTCCCCTCCACACTCCGACCTCTCCCTGCACCCTCCCGTCCATGTTCCAAATCCAGCCTCCAATTTGTTCCACTTCCACATACCTCATTGTTCAAAATGACACTTTTACATTTTACGGTGAACCAATTATTCTGTCTTACACAGTCCACTGGCTCTGCAAGCCAACATACCCGGATCAACCGGGGAGCGGGGTGTAGGGCTGGCAGTGGCTGTGTAGTCGAGGAGAGACAAAAAAAATAGGAGCGGATAAATGAAACAATAATAATGAAAAATATTTAAAAAATAAAGCAACTCATAGCAGCTCTCTCTGACGTATCAGTCGGGATGGGCAAAGGTGCTGGAAACTGAGAGGGTGGAGGAAGGAGGTGAGGTCAGGAGAGGAGGGAGATGTGGAGGAAACGACACAGGTGGATGCCGCCGCACTGTGGAGGGATGTGTGTGTGTGTGTTTGGGGGAGGCTGCGAGCAGTCGGAGAATAAAGTGAATGTAGACAAAGGGGAATTTAATTGAATGATAAAGTGATGGAGAGAGAGTGAAAAGAGTGGAGAGGGAGAGAGAGGGAATAAATCACAGCAGGGATAAATAAAGAAGATGGAGTACTGGGTGCCCCACTAGTTGTAATGCATGCCTGAGGATGAGCAGGAGGGTGTGTGGGATATTAAAAGAGGAGACAAGAGAGCGAGATGAGTGGAACAGAGGCACAGTAGGAGCAGAGGAAAGGCAAAACAAGGGGGGAGGAAAGAGTGAGGTGGAGGGGGGGAGAAAAAAAAGGCTTTTTACCTGTGATGTGCCTGAGGGGGGAGGGAGATAGGAGGAGGGACAGAAGTGTTGTTGCATCAAAAGAGCATGCAAAAAGATTTAAGGAAAGGATGGTGCAGGTCAGGTATATAACGCCTGGAGAGAGTGGGTGTGAAGAGTAACAGATGGAGGGAGAGGATGGAGAGAGTAAGCAAGCAGACGAGAGTGCAGGCTTTATGTTATATGTGCATGCTGGCACCGAAGTCCCCATTTCATTTGCTCTTTATTTGCTTCTCGGAGATCCACTTACATCAGATAAATACTACGAGAATGAACTTATCTCTCTCCGGATAATTTACCCAGAGAACTTTCTTTTTCATTCCACGAGTAAACAGCCACGGCTCCCTCCTTAGAAAACTGTGAAACAAAAGAGCGAACCCACCGAGTGGCACGCACATTCAGAAAAAGCTCCCGTTTCCAGCCTTTCATTGCAGAGTATCCACGACTTTTTTTAGAAAGAGTCAAACAAAGAGAGAGGTTGAGGTGCTGTGTGGAATTAGGAAACAGAAAAACTAATAAACAGCCGACACCAAAGAGATTGTTAATGTTTAAGTTCAAATAGTTTATTTGCTCATCTTTTGATTGTGGCCACTGTGTGAGGTGGTTTCCTTTGTTTGTGCGGCTGAAAGCTGTGCTGACTTTTCCCAAGCAATTAGCCACGGGGACAAAGCCTCAGACAGGGCACTAAACTAATCCTGTGACACAGCAAAATCGAATATTTCTAGTTGACTAAATGCATTTTATCCCTGAGTTTCATATTTTAGAGATGACTGATTCCTCCTCTGTGGTTAGCAGGGCAGGAGGTAGTACAGTAAAGCTGTTTGAGTTTAGGAAAAACAATAACAACGATTAGTGTGATTGCTACTCTAATCTCCATTATAACATAATTATTCAGAAACTTGACAAACTTAAACACTAAACTCACTTTT